AATAAAAATTTCTAAAGTTTTTTAAAACAAAGTCTTTGTTTATTAAATTAAATTCGTATGTATTAAAAATGTTATTGTGTTCTAAGTTATTTCTTTAAATTAACGACAGATATTTTTTATAGGTACTCCGGCACTCTCACAAAAGAATCGTAAAGGAGAAACGGATGATTGCAACGAGCTGCCAATTAAAGAAATGGATACGGTAATTACAAAGCCGCGTCGGCGACTAGGAATACAAGCCAATTCGGCGCGTTAAATGCTCCCCTGGCGATTCACGTTCTAGCCGGGGCTCTCGCGGATCTGGGATGGCCTTCTGGGAGCAAAAGCGGCAAGAGCAGCAGGAACAGCAGCAGCAGCAGCAGCAACAGCGATATCGGATCAAACTCAGTTAACAAGCCCGTGTCGTCGCTGTATCGGTCGCGCAAGTAGATAGATTTTAAATCGAGTCAACTGTGGGACAACAGTAACAAAGTTAACACGGCAAAATAATCTAGGAGCGATTGGTTCGTGTATTCCGTACATAATGAAAGCACATGAGACGAAACGATAGTGGATCCCGAGGATGGTGGATGCTGCGAGGAAGAAATTGAATTCTGTTTTTACACGCCGCCTAATCACTCGACACATCGCAGTGTCAAGAGAGATTCTGTTTAATGCAGAACACTGAAAAATGTAGATACAAGTATAGTTACAAAGAAGACACTATTAACCCCATCCTATTTCATCGAAACCTTTCGTGTGTATCGACAGTATCCACGATCGATCAGCGAAAGTACAGGCTATAAAATATAACGCTACGCCAACGTCGAAGAGAAACGTACCGGATGTCGCAAGGAAAAGGAATGACACAGTGAGAAGACCTAGAGACAACCAATCTCAGGTATGTGATGTGTGGCAGAATTCCGTGTGAGGAAATCAGTATTTTCGAACGGAAATCGTGGAACGAAAGAAAGGGAGAAACGTACGGAATAACAGATCGACATACGGGATCGAACAAAGACTCGTCCCAACAAGTGTCCTTACACCTTGTGGATTTAAAAGTTTTCTGTCCGACATCATCTTCGTCGCGAAGCGACGTTGACTGTGTTATGGAATGAATCGATGCCCAGACAGGGCATTTAAGTGTCCACGATCATCATCTTCAGTACGAGCATCATGACCCCGATAATGCGCCTGCTCCTCCTATCCACTCTGCTGGCCATACAATCCTGCTCGACCGTCTGCTCAGCGAGCAGCGATGGTAAACCTAATGGCCCGATCTTTAATTTAGATCACACTGTTCTGGAAAAGAACTTAGCGGCAATCTTCAACAAGGTGGCACATAGTTCCGCGACCACGAAGCGCAGCGTGCCGGCATACGATGCTCAGGTGTCGGCTAGCACAACGTTGTCAACGGTACCATCGCCGTTAACCACCAGTACGATCACCAGTACAACTACCGCTAGCCCATCGATACCCGCTATTAAGTATCCGGCGGCGCCACGGGCCACGGCATCCCCCGTCTTTCGAGATCTGCCGTCGTACGCGCCGCCTTCCAGGGCACTCTTTACACCACCCCTACCACCAGAGTACCTGCATCCATTCGCCGATAAACCCACACTGCGAGGTACCAACTCGGACGTGCATACCAACAACAGGAGACCGGTACCACCACCGAGCTTGACACCGGCGCACGAGCGGATACCCATCCGACCGCCGGATCTACCTCAGAGTCCTTCTCAAGTACCAGAGAGGCATCATTCTCATACGAGGATCAAACCGGCAAATGTGCCCGATAGCAGAGAGCAGAGGCCGGCGGAATCCAGTGAGGCCGATCGAAAGAACGGCACGAACGATCCTTCGTTCGTGACTCTTCATTACCCCAGTATTTCTAGGATTTTATCTGGCAGCAATGGCAGGAAACAGGATATTCCTGATATACTATTAAAGCCTTTAGCTACGAAAAGTCCATTGCTGCCGAATATTCCTCTTGCCCCAACGACCGATAAAACTACGTCGCCGCCAAGCACTGTGACGCCAAAAACGCATGGCAGTACCGTGGATCCTTCGAAGATCGCTGTCACGCAGCCAACGATCTTCAATCTACCAAACACTGGTCGACAGGACGACGACGGCTATCATCACGGCCTGAGGAACGAACACGATACTGATAGTATCGAAATAGTGGATACGGAGAGGCTACCGTATCCGCAAGCGCAGCCACCGGCGCCAACGCCAAAGCGACCAACAAGTGTCGACGACGATGGCGCTGATGATGACCGTTTGATACCACGCGTCGACACACATCCACTTGAGTCTACGTGGCGGATCGCCTGGTCACTACACGTATACGTCGCGGCGATTATGTTTACGCTCATGGCCTTGTATTCGATCTACAAGATCGTGCGTTTCAACGAGGCAACGAATCTATTCACACAATCGTACTTCCTAGCTGTTCATCTCCTGTTGACCACAATCTGCACTCTGAGGTGCTTTCACCTCTTTTACGACGCTTACAATCTCGGACATTCGCTGCCGGAGTCATTGTCTAGAATTCTAATGTACTTGCCGGCACCACTCTTGTCTGCGGCGTTTGCCACTCTGATGTTGTTCCTTGCCCGATGCTCGGAAGCACCATCGCTTAACAACAACATCCTCTCGCCTATTACGCTTGTATTTTCATCCACGGTGCACATTATACTGTGCGTATCCCTGCACGTGTCCGCGCACATGCTCGGCTATCAGGACGAGGCGAAAATCCTACCGCTCATCTGCCAGTGCATTTACATCATCGTCTGCATCACTCTAGGTTTATGCTACATGTACGTGTATCGCGTGGTGCGTTCGCAGATTCATATGGCCAGCAATAAGGCAGCTGGCGCAAATCATATGATGGGCGCCGATCCTACTACGATGGCTCTCAGCACTGCCATCACCACCACTATTGCCACCGCTTTGTTGTTCATCCTCATGGGCCTCGTGCAGCTCTATGGCGTATTCGGTGTTCAGGAACGTCCGCAACAATTTCCATGGCTCTGGTGGGGCTGGCAGTTCTCCGTCAGATTACTAGAGCTATCCGTTTGTGGTCTCCTAGCCTGGGTTGCCAGCCTATCTCAATATCCGTTGCGCGAAAAACAGATGCAGCAACACTCGGCACACTCGGGCTTCGCTCTGTTTCCATGCGGCAGTTCCACTTCTACGGAAAACATGGATGACGTACTCTACCCCGCCATATGTAGTACCAACCAAGCGATTCAAAATTATACCATGAGAACAGGAAAACAAGTCTACGATGATAGTTTTCCACTGAATACTTTGCCCGAGCATTTGAACATATCAGGTAAAAAAATTGTAACATCTCATATTTTTCATTAACAATCTATTTATAATTGAATGTTTAAAATTTACTTCTCATTATTAATCTAAAAGAGACTGATATTATTTATTAGATTATTCAATATAACTATTAATTTGCAGTAACTAATGATTATTTATTGTATAGGTACCTTTGAGAGACATTCCATCCGCAAATCAGGTACAATGGGCCACTTTCCTCACGAAGGTCGAGGTTCCTTAAGTCGTCATGGAAACGGTATACAAACTCTAAGGAACTCAGAGACTCGCGGGAGGCATACGCCTGTACAAGGTCTACACGAACAAGCTCCAACCAGCGGCTCGACGATGCTAGTCGCCGAGGACGGCTTCGTTAGGTTTCGGAGTCTTGGTGCGGAGGAAGATGAGCTGTCCGATACGCAGAGCATGGTCGGCACTCACGGCAGGGGAAGTTCGCTCGCTGGTAGTGTTAGATATAACGCGAGGCATCCCACAGTACAGCATCAGCACCCCCATCAGCACCAGCATACGCTGCAACACTCGCATCCGAATCAACATCAAACTCACCACCAACTTTACAACAACACATAAAGGCTGTGCCAATGCGATGACTAGAACGTGATTCTTGTTGACTCGGTAGGTAACGAGAGATAAACTTTCAATCGTTTATTATTTTAATGAGAAATATGTAAAAAATAAAATGCTAGTAAATGCATAAGTATCACAATATTAGCAAACAATTTTTTCTAATAAATAAATTTTGGGATAAATATAAATAATAAAATTTTAAATCATTTAACTTTATGAGTGATACAATAATTGGTGTTTTTTTTATTGCAGACGTAACGATCGTCGTCGAAACATAGGATATATCGACATTCGCGAGAATCGTCGCCCTCGCAAACTTCGGTCTAAACTAATTTTATCTCGTACTCTATGTAAGATATGTCCTGTGTATAGACAACCTAATTGCCATTCCTGCTCTCCCGCTTTGCATCGACGTCCGAGCCAAGCCTCTGCCGTACGATATCTATATATATTTATTTTGATCCTCGATAAGCAAGTAAAAGTATACGGCGAACTCGTTTGGGGTTCCTCTACCTATATGTGGGTAGTTCAGGGTATATTGAAACTTGATCTTATATTAGGCACTTGGTACTTATTAAGATTCATGTGATTGAAAAAAAATAAAGAAATACTGTGTCTCACTGAAGTATATAGGAAAATGCTTCTCTCTCGGTTTTATGTTCACTGTTAGTACCGAACGGCTGTGGAACGTATTGGAGGAACAAATGATTTTAAATTAGTTCTAATGCCACATAAGGAATTTCGATATATTTTAGCAAACACACTGCTATTTGACGCCACGTTATAGAAGACTTTGACGTTATATTGTCCCAGCAGATTTTATAACATTCATTATTTTACATAGTCGTACATACATTAAAAAGCATTTCAATGACCACCTTTCAATTGGTACTTATTCTTCTTTGAATTTACTATTGTGACGGAAATTCGACATAAAATCAGCTTTGCGATCAGCAGGAAGTATATATTTTTTACAAAAAAAATTGTACGCGAGGTCCAAACACTCAACTGGGGAAAACAATTACGATTCTCATTCAGGTATTCCGAGATTAGGATATGATTGTGTCAAGCTGAAAGCGATGTTTGTACAGTCGATGATAATTTATCACTCAGTCCAATTGTACGATTTAGTTAGCGGCTAAGACTAGATTAAGAAAATTGCGGGTTACGTTAAGTTTAGCCATTAAGTTAGGCAAGACGCGACTAATGTCAACAGGTTTACATTTAATAAATCGAAGGAGAATAAGAAAGACGTCAAAAAAAAATACTATTACCGATTTAGAATAGATGACATAAGTGCGATTTAATGTCACACACACACAGGCCAGCATTTTATTTTATTTCTCAGATTCTAAGGTACAAAATAGTACTTTTTACCTTTCACTTCGTATATCGATAGGTCGCAATGTATATGTTTATATATGGACATTGTAAATAAGGTATACGGGCTCGTCGTGAGTGAATCTACTGTTATGATGGAATCCAATTGGGTTCTATTCGAGATATTGGAATTTATACATTTCTTGGTTGTATAAAAAAAGATGCAAGACTTGTATTTTAATTTATGTTAGAAGCTGTATTTATTATGTGAAACATTCCACAACAAGTGATCAGTGTGTGCGCGATCGATTTGTGTGGGATTTTATTGCAATTATAAATTTATCTAGGCGCTAAATGAAACGGAACAAATGTAAATAAAAGCTTTTTTGCGAAGTCTTTACGTTTGTCTTACTTTCGAATGCGATTTTAGTCATTCTAGATGCAGCAGATGTACGTAAAACATACTTCTTTTTACATTTTTATAAAAAAATGAATTTTAGTTTGAATATACCTTCACAGGTTATTGTGTTCACATTATTAATTTATATCGGGATAGCATAATTTAGATAAATTTTACAAGACTGCTGTCAGTTTATAATTTGACATGCATTACACAAAAATGTTCCCAAATTTAGGTTTCCTATAAACAAATTTTATATTGTAATATATAAATATAATGTGTTAGTTATGTATGCATATTTAAATGATTTTGTTTTATTGTACCATTTCTTTCCATTTTCATTCTCCATTTCATTTAAATTCCTCATAGAAAATTATCATGCATGTATTTTATTTTCAAAGAATATTAATATTATATTTTATATATTGATAAATATATCTTATATTTTATATATGATGTTTACATGAGATAGCGAATAACGATATTACATTGATTTCTTTCGAAATCTATTAGTATTTGACTTTGGTAAGTATATTTTATAAAAATATATAACTCTCTTTATCTTGATGACATAAATTTGCTATTAAACAGTGATATTAAACAGAAGTATTAATCGAACATATTAAAGTATCACTAGTAAAGTATACACATTAAAGTATCTACTAATTAAAGTTCTTGAATAGTCACCACAGCCATTATTGAATCATAATGTCAGAAGAGAAATGACACGTTAATTTTTATTATATGCTATTTATAAATAAAGACAATTTGAATAAAACAAAATGATGAGATTATTTTAAAACATTTGTAAAAATGAATGAAACGAAAACTATGCTTATTCTCCCTGACAGTCAATAAATAATCGTAAAAAGTCATAAAAGGCATGTGTAAGTGAAAATAACGCATGCGCATTGAATAAAAGCACTTAATGTGCCTTTTATCACTTTTTACATCATAATTGAATCATTTGAATCATTACATCATGATTCAAGATAATTGTGATGACTACTCAGGAGCCTTAATAAATTAGATACTTTGTGGACTTTATACCAGGAAGCTTTTTTATAATGTTTTTGATAACATAAGAAATATAGTGCACTTGTACTTAATATTTCGTATCTTTATCAAACTCTGAGCACAAGATAAGTTATATAACGTAGAGCAGTCTCGTCATTGATTTAGTTTGCTCATATTCGTTGACTTACAATCCTTCGCATATTATTATAAATAAATATTTAACGTATAAAATATTAGTAAATTATATCAATTAATTTTAATAACAAAAAAAGAATGAATTTGAATAAAAAGTGTATTACATTAAGTGAAGTGAACAACAAATTCACAGAAGATGTGCTAATAAATATCCTCTCCAAAATATGCAACGGAAAAGAAGTGCAATTGACAGATTGGAGTTTTAACGAGGGATCTGCTAAAGGTGATAATTATTTGTCAAATATTTACAAGGGCAAAGTGAATGGCATTATAAATGGCGATCCAAAACAACATGTGCAAGCGAATATTGTCGTAAAGTCAATGCCAAAAAATCCTGGAACACGAAAGACTCTCAGATGTATAGACTTCTTCAATAACGAAATCGCTTTTTATACGCAGGTAAGATTAGACATTTATACTTCTTTTTCTGAGACTTGTACATCTTCGTTTGAAAAAAATTATATTTATTTATGTAATCAAATAAACCATTTTCTAATTATTTTACAGATTATATCCAAATTTGAAAACTTTCTAGCAGAAAAAGGACAAACCGATCTATTATGCATACCACGTCATGTAATCTCCTCCACAGATAATGAAAACGGTTTTCTAATTTTAGAAGATGCTTCTTGCTTAGGATTTCGTGCCGTTTCACGATAGAACTGCCTAGATTGGGCAGAATGTTTAGCTGTCTTGAAGACATTGTCCAAATTTCACGCGATCTCATTTGCGTACAAAGATCAGAAAAAGAAAGAGTTTGCAGAAATGACAAATTCTTTAAAAGAAACCCTCTTCGGTCATGAACATTGAGACTGGTACAAAGGATTTCATGTAAATAACAGAAATATCTGATAGAATTTATATGGTAGAATCAGTTTTCTTTCTAGAATAAAAAGATCTTTTTCCAGGAAAAGATACAAATTCTAATTAAACACGCTTTAGCTATCGAATATCCCAACAGCAAAGCTGAGAAACAATACAATTCTTACAAATTTGGTGCTCTCTTTAACAAATGTATTATGTAATAGAAGAGATGCTCCTACATCTATCGTAGTGGAGGGTGATTGTTGGAGTCCAAACTTTTTAATCCGCGACATTGGAAGAAATCAAAAGAAAGCATTGATGCTTGACTTTCAGCTTGCACGTTGCGCAAGTCCTGTGGATCTGTCGTTTCTAATTTATGCTTGCACTCTGAAGTCATTTCGTGATCAATATTTTGATGACATTAAAAACATATCACTCCGAGTTGAGCAATGCCATTAGATTACTCGGATCTGACCCAGAGAAACTTTATCCATGGGATTTATTCATGAAAGAGGTAAAAAGAGAGGTTTTAATTTTTCTTAGGAGAGAGGAGGTTTTAATTTTTCTCAAGAGAGACAATACTATAATCAATGTGTAATTAATTTTAGGTGAAGGAGCAATTTGTGTTTGGTGTGTTTGCTTCGCTTGACGCTATTCCATTATGCCTGATAGATTTACCCGAATCATTTACCATAGACACTGCTGTTGAGGATAATGAAACAATAGATATTAGTGATGTGATATTGTCATTTTCTTATTTTACAACAATCGGAAGGCAAAGACTAGCGGATGTCATAGTTCACGCTGTTGAAAAAGGATACATATAACACAATAACACATATAACACAATACATATAACACAAAGAAAGCTTTACTATAAGATCATTATTTGCTGTAAAATATAATTAAAACAATTAATAAGGATTATTCGATATAAGTTTTCAACAATTCAATATAAGTTTTCTTCCTATGATACAATATTCTTCTTTTTATATAAATATTAAAAAGGAAATAATATTCATTCTAGTAGAATATTGTGTGCTTATGGAATTGTGATACACTAACCAATCTATATTATTTAAATAAATAAAATATTTTTAATTTCTCTGAAGAGATTCTTATTAAAACAATACAACTTATATTATTTGATATAATTCAATATAAGTTTTCTTATGACACATAAATAGAAATCTATATGTTATCTATAAATAAATGAAATATTTTTAATTTCTCTAAAAAGAATTGTAGGGGAAGAATCTCTTTTTAAATTATTAATCATTCCTCCTTTTTAAATAATTATTCATTCTGATTAAAAATATATTTTCTTTAGATTACACTTAATATTTTTATATTTCTGTAATGTTACAACTATAAAGAAAATGATAATTGGATCATGTTGCTCGCATGCAACTTCATCAGAAACAATGTTTATGTAACATATTTTTTTACAACTTTTTATTATTCTTTTTCTTTGCCAAGGCAAAGTCTTGCAAATTTCCAAGTTTTCTGGAACACTAGAATCTCCGTAGTGTAACATATTACGGTATAGGCGATATATGCATACATTCCGTGACTTATCAAAATTCGGAGCACATTAGTATATAACTATAATCACAAGAAAATTTGCAATATCATAGCGGAAGAAAAGTCAATAAAAGATAAACTGCGGGTGTATAAATATTTATACATTCTTAATGATTTCGATAATGATTCTATATATATATATATATATATATACAAACATTTAATCCAAATTTTTCCACTTAAAAACACAAAACAAATAAAAAAAGTGTGGTTTTTGCGATCGTATACGATAACATGCTCTATTTCTTATCAGCTGTTTTATAAAATGAAATTTTCTATCGGAGAATCTTCTCATTTCTTCTAGCAATACGTAAGGTTATGTTTCGCGCAGTTTCGCGATGCAAATCGATGATAGAAACATGCGCACGATCTATAGTCGACTACAGTGTTCAGAATGTCGACGGAGAGAGACTGGCAGTTCATAGAATTCAGTCACATTTCCTCTTGTGGCCTCTTGCCACTGTTTATATCATTTAATTCGTCCCCACTACGCGAGCCCGGTTGATTCAATAAATCTCAACAAGATCCTGCATTCCATTTACAATGGAAAATTACGTCTAACGTCATAGTTTCATACGTGGCAGATCGACGCGCCAGGAATACAAGGTTTGTTCACGTGCGATTACTACGATTACAGTATTAATAATCGGGACGTCTTTTTTATTACGATCGACTGCATCGTGTGAAGAACGATCGACGTAAACATTTCTTCCCCCCCCCCTCCTCTCTCTTTCAACGAGAAGAACTGGATCATAAAGAAGAGACTTATATATATGTAAGTGAGCATAATCATGCTGTGTCAAAAATTGTACTGTAGAAAAGTTGAAGATTACAAAATGACAAGATACTTTTGTGAATGAATTACAGACCGTTTTTATCACGGAAAGAAAAGATCGAGTTATCAGAGAGATACTAAAAATTACTATAAATCACGTCTGACGAGATAACAAGTAAGTTATAAATATAAGTAGCAACGGCTTCATTAGCTTATTTCTTAATAATTCAATGATGCTCACTTATTTGTTACATTCTTTTAATGAGAAATATCTATTTTAAAAGATTTAAATCGCACGCATTGATCTAAACGTTCCATTAAATTAACATAAGTATTAATTTCGATAATATCGCAATATTTAAATCTAGTATTTAATATTCCCAATCAGATTTCAGTATTTCGAAAGTATTGTCGAGTTTCGTAAATTAATTTATTAATAAATACGAAAGTAGAAGAAATTAAGATCATGAGTCAAACTAAAAACCATGTTAATTTGAGCGACGTGAGTGACAAGTTCACGGAAGAGGTGCTAGCAGACGTTCTTCGTAAAGCATGTGATGGGAAGAAGGTGCAGTTGACAGATTGGAATTTTGGCGAGGGATTTGCCAAGGGTGATAGCTACTTGTCGACTGTTAACAAGGGTATCTTGTACGGTGTTGTGGACGGGCAACAAATGCAGGTTAATTTCGTCGTAAAATCAATTCCCAAAAATGTTGGCAGGAGAAAGACTTTCAGGAGCGAAGATTTTTTCGGTAACGAGATCATGTTCTATACAAAGGTGAGGATATACGAAATTTTCTTTTTATGTAATTGGAAATGCATATATCTTTTAAAAAATGGATCCGTTATATATAATCAAGTAGTAATACAGATGTAAAACATTTATAAAAACAATTTACAAAACAATTTTATAGATTATCCCTAAGGTTGAAAAATTCTTAGCAGAGAGAGGACAGAGCAATCTGTTGCGTATACCACGTTACTTGGCTTCTTACATGGATGGTGAAAATGATTTTATAGTCTTAGAAGATGTCTCTCCTCTAGGATTTGGACCAGCATCCAGGCAAAGCTGCCTGGATTGGGCGGAATGTACAGTAATCTTACAAGCCTTGGCGAAATTTCACGCAATTTCATTTGCATACAAAGATCAACGAAAAGAAGAATTCGTAGAAATAACAAGCTATTTAAAAGAAACTTACTTTGGTAATCATAACTGGAACTGGTATCAAAGATTTCATGTAAGTAATTACGCGTTACATTTTCAATAATTCTTACTAAAGTATATCTTCTGTTACAGAAAAAGTTAGTTGATATAGCAAAACATGCATTAATGACAGAATATCCTAACAGTAAAGCTGAAAAGCAATTTAATTCCTATGAATTTGGTACACTCTATAACAAGTGTACAGAATTGTGTGAAGAAAATGCCCCGACATTTGTTATAGCTGCGGGTGACTGTTGGGCCCCGAACTTTCTAGTCCGAGATATTGGGCAAAATAAAAAAGAAGCACTAGTACTGGATTTTCAGCTTGCACGTTGCGCTAGTCCTGTCACAGATCTATCGTTTTTAGTTTATTCTTGCACTCAGAAGCCATTTCGAGATGAGTATTATGATGACATATTGAAAGTTTATCACTTCGAATTAAGCAGCGCCATTAAATCTCTTGGATCTGAACCAGAAAGGATTTATCCATGGGATTTATTTATGAAAGATGTAAAGTATCTATTTTACTTTCAAAATTTTTAAATGGAAATTATATAGATACTAATACTCGATATTAATTGCAGGTGAAGAAAAATTTCATATTTGGATTAGTGTTCGCTCTGGAAAGTATTCCATTTTGTCTATTGGACCCATCACAATCATTCGATTTAGATGCTATTATCAAGAGTAACGAGGCAGTAAATATTGCTGATGTATGGACATTATATAATATTAAAACATCAAGTGGAAGACAAAGATTAGCAGACGTAATTATTCATGCAGTTGAGAATGGTTATTTATGAAAAAGGATATTATTTTTATATAATTCATCTTTCTGCGTTATAGAAGATTATAAAGCACAACTATCATTTTAATACAATAATGCATATTATACATATTACATATATTATGCATTATATCTATAACATATGTTATATACCAATACTATTGTAGTAGCAATATACTAATACTATGTAATATATTGGTATATCTACTGCTGAAGTATTATTGCAATATATAATATTATTGATATATAAATACACACACACACACACACACACACACACACACACACACACACACACACACACACACACA